GGTGGATGATCTGGGTGTTATGTTAGACCCCAAGTTAAAGTTTTCCGAACACATTTCTACCATGGTAAATAAGGCCATGGGCGTGCTTGGGTTTATAAAGAGGTGGTCAAAGGAATTTTACGGCCCCTATATAACAAAGGCTCTCTATACCTCGCTTCTTCGTCCGATCTTGGAATACGGCTCCTGTGTATGGTGCCCTCAGTACAAAGTACACCAGGACCGTATAGAATCAGTACAGAAAAACTTTTTACTCTTTGCTCTGCGGGGCCTTAACTGGGATGCGGGTGTGAGACTCCCATCTTACTCTAGTAGACTACTATTAGTAAACCTCCTATCCTTAGTTAACCGTAGAAAAATGTTTGGTGTGATATTTATGCACAACTTGATCAGGGGTGACATAGACAGCCCTGATCTGTTGAGCCGCATAAACTTCACGATTCCTATTAGACTGACTAGAAATTTTATACCGTTGTTCCTTCCACTTTGTAGATCGAATTATTCCTTGCATGAACCGTTTAGGGTCTTATGCTCGGATTATAATTCCCTCTACCAACACTAATTCTCTTCCTCTTATTAAATTACTAATCCTTACACACCTTTCTAGTAATTAGTAATTAGTAATTGTAGTGGTATTTTCATGTTTATTTTGAATGCATGTCTAGTTCTCTTAGAAACTTTCGTGATAATCTTCCTCGAATATTAGTCTAACAGCTATCTTTCCTGCATGCTCGCGTAACAGCCTACTGCTGGTGTCGCACGGGCCACTTGACGGTGCAGTAATTGCATTGCCTCTTGAAAGATGCAGTCATTTGGTCAACGTCCAAATAAAATTTTTGCCGAAATATCATGCATTTTATTAGTAATGATTTTTCCCGAAAAATCATGCATTTTATAAGTGATGATTTTTCCCGAAAAATCATGCACTTAATAAGCGATGCTTTTTTGAAGAATCATGCATTTGATATACAAAAGTTAGCTTTAATCCAAAAAATTAAAATTATTCCATTTCCTTTTCCATTTATTTTCTTTTATATTTTTTTAAGGTACTACTAAGCTAAAAATAACAATGTTTACTGTAGGTCAGCGGTGGCCTGTTCATTTACTCCAACAACAAAAACACGCGCAAAAATACGTCCCTGCTCGAGCCAAGCCGCACAAATAAGGGTTAATTTTGTTGCTTTTGTTTTATTGTGTGTTTTGCTGCTGGACTGCTCACAAATGTCGTGCCACCGTAGATTATAACAATTTATTTCGCTAATACCAAAGACTATACAATACCAAGATGTTGCATGAGGAACAAATTCTTTTTCAATTTTCGTTTGACGCTTCATGGAACGGGCGCGCGGGGCTATTACTTCAATTCTCTTTTACGCTACCTTCGCCTCCGAAATGCTACTCGGCTTCGTCAATGCCTCGGTCAGCGTCGAGTCGGTGTGTCTCAAGAGAAAGAATACAAACACATAATATGAATCGTCTGCGTGCCGAAACCGTAGGGCAGCGTGGTCGCTGATGTCTTTGGCGCGGCACAGTGGGGACTCAGCCGAAATAGTAAAAAAAATTTTATGAGTGCTTTATATAAATTCTAATAGAGAATCTTCCAATCGAATTTTCCCACTGTGCCGCTCCAAAGACATCGGCGATCCGCGACCACCGCTTCGACGGTGCTGAGGCTCGAGATTCCAGAATTGCGGAACAGACGAAACCGATGGGCAGCGGGGTCGCGGTAGAGACGAAAAGGGAATTGAAACCCCGCGCGCTCCCTCGTGCCTTTTGGGTTCCAATGTTAGGACCCGCCATAGAACAGCTTTTTGGTCGCTCATGCAACATCTTGGTATTGTATAGTCTTTGCTAATACGGATTTACATTCTATTTCTTTATTCTTTGTTTATTCCCGAGCATAAGAGAAGAATAAAGTATAATGTGAATGCAGCGAAACATTAATATAATTTGAACACAGTTTTTCACAAATTTGATTTTTTATACAATTGAGATTTTCTTTATTTACCACGTGCACAACACATATTATTAATTATTTAAACACTGAACTTACCTGATAATAGTAACAATCACAAAACTTGTGCGCACTTTGCGCATAATATGACGATTGCAAATAGCAAATGCAAAGCGAACAAAGAAAAAGAGTTCTGACGACGCAGGAGCAAAAGAGAAGAAAAGAAAAAACGAAGTTCTCTTCTTCTGCGCACGGTCGGCAGAACCGAATAACGTTCGGCACGCGCGGAAAAGAAAGAAACAAAAGAGCAATCAAAGGGTTTGATTTGGCTGGCTTCAACGCCTAGATGACATTGTAGATTACATTCGTCATCGCTCACTGCTGGTACTGCAGGGTTTTGTGCTGCAATGGGCAGGCGCTTAACCGAACAGACATTCTACATACCCCGGCCTTTCGGATACATTTTTTACATTCACTTTTTTTTAATTTACATCGTTTATAAGCTAACAAACTCAGAAAAGTTTATTTTTTTGTTTATTCTTAGGAGACCAAAATGATTAGCTAACCTTAAAGCTGTGCACATTTTTAACGGACTGCTCTATGGGAGAATGCTATAGTTGGGATTCGAACATGTTCCTACTCTTTTTTTTATACCCAATACTCAAAATGAGTAAACTAAGCTTCTTCTTTGGACTAATGCGTACCTTTGCAATCGTTCTCAGCGTGTGTGCTCCCAATCTTCTCTTTCTAAACCAGTTTTTGTCTCTTCGGGTGTGCCGCAAGGTAGCCAACTCGCGCCCTTATTATATAACCTCTTAACCAACGATCTTCCCCAAGTTTTAACTAATTCACGAGTCCTAATGTACGCTGATGATGTCAAGCTTGTTTTTCCTACTGCGACCCGGTGTCACCGTTATTTCTTTAATTGGATCTCGACGCTCTCAACAATTGGTGTATTATTAATGCTCTTCCTCTTAACATTTCTAAATGTAACGTCATGACCTTCATTCGCAACAAGCGTTACCTTTTTGATTTCACAATTAACAAGATTTCCTTGGAACGCCTGTACAAAGTTAATGACTTAGGCATTATTTTCGTACCTAACTTATGTTTTAATCCGATATATCCGCTATTTCACACAAAGCCAAAGGAGTCCTTGGTTTTATCAAAATATGGTCGAAGGAATTCTCTGAACCCTATAAGTACTACTAAACTACTCTACATTTCTCTTGTAAACGTTTCACGGTCGGCTTTGCCTATCGCAAAAAAGTGCGTAGATCTCAGAGACTACAAGAGCATGAGCAACTAAATTTGGTATCCACACTCCTGTGATACCGAACCTGCAAAAGTATATTTCAAAATTTTGCCCCACTCCTTTCCGCCCCCGCAAAAGACGAAAATGTGTGGCATCCACAGATCTCAGAGCCTATTAAGGCTAGAGCAACAAAATTTGGTATCTACACTCCTGTTTGATCTAACTGCTACATGTGCATTTCCAAATTTCGCCCCATCCCCTTCCACCCCTACAAAGTACGGAAATCTGTGGCATCCACAACATTAAAGATACGAGAAAACTAAAGACGCACAATCAAACTACCGTTTTATCTCCAATTTATCTTCCATTTTTGAACTCTTCGAAAAATTATTACTTCTCAGCTTCAACACTTTTGTAGTTTTCTGTTATCAGAATCACAGTACGGATTTGTAAAACGTCGGTAAATTTCGTCTAACCTCCTTGAAATTTCGTGCCCACCGTAGATTATACAAATTTATTTCGATAATACGGATTTATATTTTCCTCCTATGTAACTGCCAGATTTGCAAAGCAATGTCAAACTGGCGCAGTTTATACTGATTTTAGTAAATTTTTTGACTCAGTTAATCACAATCTCCTCATCCACAAACTATCTCTACTAGGATTTCCGACTAAACTTCTTCTCTGGAGTAATGCGTACCTTTGCAACCGTTCTCAGCGTGTCTGCTTCCAATCTTCTCTTTCTAAACCATCTCTCTTTCTAGCCATCTCAGTCCCTTAATATTAAACCACTTTATCAATGATCTTCCCTAAGTTTTACCTAATTCACGAGTCCTAATGTATGCTGATGATGTCAAGCTATGTTTTTGATACAGCGATCCTGTGACCCCGTTATTTCTTCAATCGAATCTCGACGCTCTCAAAAATTGGTGTCATGACCTTCCATCGCAACAAGTCTTACCTTTTTGACTTCACAATTAATAAAATTTCCTTGGAACTCCGGTACTCCGGGGACTTAGGTATTATCTTCGTACCTAACTCATGTTTTAATTCTCATATATCCGCTATTTCAAATTAAGCCAAAGGAGTCCTTGGCTTTATCAAAATATGGTCGAAGGAATTCTCTGAATCCTATACTAGTAAACTACTCTACGTTTCTCTTGTACACGTTTCGTGGTCGGCTTTGCCTATCGCAAAAAGCGCCTAGATCTCAGAGACTACATGAGCATGAGCAACTAAATTTGGTATCCACACTCCTGTGAATTTCAACCTGAACAAGTGTTTTTCAAATTTTCGCCCCACTCCTTTCCGCCCCCGCAGAGGGCTAAAATCTTTGGCATCCACAAATCGCAAAGACTATTAGAGCTAGAGCAATCAAATTTTGTCTCCATACATCTGTTAGATCTAACTGTTATAAGTGTATTTCAAATTTCCGGCCCAGCCCCTTCCGCTCCACAAAAGAAGAAAATCTGTAGCATCCTTAACATTGCAGATACGAGAAAACTAAAAACGCACAATTATAAAGAATGACTATATCTACCAGATGGCCGAATCTGGATCAGATCGGATCATTCTTATAGCCAAAAGTAACAAATCAATTTGCAGTGGCTGGCTACGCAGCGATTGACGACATGTTCAGTCATGTTTTCTGTCTCACCCGCACTCTTTGTAGTTCAATGTAGCCATACTAACTATGTATCGGGTATAAATGTAGAGTTGCGGTCGCAGCAGCAACTCAACGTTCCCCCTCGTTTTAGTCCATGGATCAAGCCAATAAAAATAAAAAATACTTACCTATTATCGAATCTTGAGTAAATACAAATGATCCCATGAGGAAAATAAAAACTCCTACAAAATAAACTGATGACATTATTACGACATAGGCATCAAATCCGGCTATTTTAAATTGCTCGGGAAATTCGGTTTTTGGTGGGGCTTTCGGGCAAGATAATTCACAGTCACTGCACGAGCAAGCAGGTAATAAGCTCTAGAAAGAAATTATAAAATATACTAATTATATTTTTTCATTATTATTATATAAAGCTAATAAATAGTTAAAACTAGGTATTAACAAGGTATAGGGCTATAGCTACTGAGGTCTTAAGCTCGCTATGGTATTATTATACACTTGAGTATGTATGAACTTATATACATATGTACAGGGTTGGTTTTATACGATATTGCGTTGGAGGATGTTTTATCCATGTAGTGGGCATTGGTGGATCTTGTGTGCCCTAGTCTCAGTCTGTTTACGATGACTTGGTGTCTTCTGTTAAGGTTGTTTAGGTTTTTGGAGAGAGGATGAGTGGAAGATAGATTGATAACTTTTTGGTGCCAGGGGGATGTCTTAGTGAGGAGGTTTGTTTGTTTCGATAGGAGGATTTTCATAAGGAATAGTGAGATGTCGTTAGAATTATGATTGGGGGTATATATGAGGGGTTGTTTGAAGGTAGTTTTGGCTGCGGTGTCAGCAATTTCGTTCCCTTTTATGCCAATGTGACTAGGTATCCAGATAATTGTTATTTTTGGGAATAGTTTGGTGACGAGGTTACGGATTGTGGTGGGGTAGTACGAGGAATTGTTGGGATTGGTAATTGCGGAAATAGAGGAGAGTGAATTTGTGCAGATAGCGTATCTTCCGCGTTTGTTGCGGATTAATAAAATGGCTTCGTGGATAGCTATAATTTCGCTGGAAAGTACTGAGGAGTACTGTGGAAGTAGTCCGGATTGTATGGTTGATGTCTCACTGCAGATCCTAGCTAGTAATGCCTGCTGCTTTGGACCCGTCTGTGTATAGGAAGGTGTGTTGATGGAGCTCGGATTTGGGGGGTGGTGTTTTTATCGTGTTTGGATAGGGTGATGTTGATTGATTTAAGGATGGTTGTCATGTTGAATTTATTGGTGTTGGAGGTTTTAATCAGGGAGAACGGTATGGGAAATTTGTTTGGCTCTGTCAATATTGCTTAGCAGTCTGTGTTTTTCTTAGGTTTTTTGGGAGTGAGTTTAGGGGGGTGTCTTTAGAGTGGATGAGGTTTTTGAATATTTTGCCTTTTAGAAAATCTCGCTTGTTTTCCAAGGTGTGTATGTTGGCTTCGGATAAAAGGTTGTTAGTGAATGTGGTGCGGAATGCACCCAGGGCGGCTCTTGTTGCTGCATTAATCATAGTTTTCAGGCGGTTAAGCCGGCTTTTTGGTGCGTAACCGTATATGGGGAGGCAGAAGTCTACTCTGGATATGATTAGCGATTTCATAATTTGTACAAGTGTTGAGGTGTGACAGTTGTATTTTAAGGACGAGAGGTGTTTGATAATGCCCAGTGACTTGGCAAGGTCTATTTTGAGTTTATTGATGTGCGAATTCCAGTTGTATCTGGAGTTGAGTGTGAGGCCTAGTAGTCTAAGTGAGCTGTTTTGGTTGATGGATGTGTTGCCAGTAAGGAATTTTGGTTTGCAGTTATGTTTCCGACATATGTGTAGGAGTTGACTTTTGTCTTTGGAGAGGTCTGCTCCTGACTGAGTGCACCAGTTGTTTATTTGGTTGAGGATTGTTTGGATGTCGGTTGTGGGGCTTTTCCTTTTGCTGTGTTGGATGATAAGGAGGAAGTCGTCGGCGTATGCACTGAATTTGATCTGCTTGTGAAAGGATAAGATTTCGGAGAGTGGGTTGTACGCTATAAGAATTATTTTATTGTTCAAAACAAACCACCATAACCTTTTTGCCACTATCTTATCGAGCATTTAGGCTAGGCATGAGTTAAGTGATATAGGTCTGTAGGATTTTATGTCTGTTAGTGGTTTTTGTGGTTTCAGAATCGAGAGGACTAGGCTGAGTTTGAGCGATTGAGGGATGTATGAGTCGAGTATTCTGTTAAAGTGGTTTATTATTCTGATTTAAAGGGTGGGGGTGCGTTTTTTAACATTCAGTAGGAGATTCGGTCGTGACCCGGGGTGTTTCCTTTCAGGGACTACAGAGAGTGAGAGAATTCTATAAGGTTAATTTCCTTTTCGAATTTAAAGTGCTGATGGAGTTGGAGTATAGTTAATAGGGGCTGTGTGAGCGATAGTGAGCTTCTTCTGACCACGTGTGGGCGAAGGATTTGGCTATTTCGGTTTGGTTGGTTGTGTTTGTTTGGGTGTGTGGGTTAAAGATACTGTGAATGTTTTTGACAGGGTAGAGTCCGCAAAGTCGTGTGCTGTTAGACCATATTGTGGATGCATCTGAGTTAGGGTGTCTATATATCTGGTCTGATGAGCTCGTGAGGTAGCTCAAAGGGGGCCTAGCTGAGGCCACCGGACGGTTCGCGGGTTGCGGATGGCGAACGGCCTACCTCGGTAGGTCAGCTGCGAATAAGCGGGCATCCCTCACGGGAGAGTACCGAAATAAGCAGTCCCGGACAGCCAGCGGGTGTTATCTAGGTAGCAGCACTGACGATGCGCTTGTTCTAATGATGCCTTACCCGGGCAACGTGGATCTCTGTCCGGGCTCACCCCTCCCTTTCTCTGCATCTCGTGGGAACAAGATGTACAACAACAAAAGTAAAAACCAAAAAAAACATTAAAAAAAACAAATGAGTGCGGCGCTCCCCAAACGCCCACCGGGAGCAATCCAAAGCACGGAACGGTAGCGGCCCAAAGGCCTGGCCCAACCTGATCTACAGCAGGGAATACCTGTAAGGTGGAAGGGGCCTATGCGAACCCGAGGGGGTCCCATCCCGAATCCGGAGTGGGTGGCAAGGCAACTCCCGAAGCTGACACCATGGAAGGAAAGCTAAGCAATACTGCGGCCGCCCGACCTTCTGGTAAAGCGGAGGCGGTTGACCTTCCGTCGACAAGCGCCCAAGCCAAACGATACACCTATGCCGAAAAGAGGAGTACAGGGCACATACTCCGTCGGCAACACGCCAGCAGTGAAGCCAGCCCATAAGCCGACTGGCTGAAGAAGGTGGAATGGGAGAGGAAAGAGGGAAGAATCCCAAGGAGTCAGTGGAAGTGGGTGGAAGCGGCACTGGCCGACCGCTGCTTCGACCTCCTCGACAAAGACCCAGGACCACCGCCAGTTTGCATGGACATGGGGTGGTTCCAGGGCAACGTCAAGATAATTGCCTGCGAAGGCGAGCGCTCCGTACAGCTTTATAAAGCGGCGGTGGCGCAGGTCGGCGATGTCTATGCTGGGGCGAAACTCGTCGCAGTCGACTGGAGCGAGGTGCCCAGAGTTTGGGCCAGAATTTGGGTGCCGGCTACCTTCAAGGAGCCAGAACGCATCCTCAAGATGTTGCAAAGATGCAACCCAGGACTACCGGATTTTAAAATCCGTACCTGCATACTTGCGAGAAAGCACTGAATTATCTTTCTGCTCCATAATTATAGCGATGGCGATAACACGGCGGCAAGCCTAGAGCTAAACGGGAATCATCTCAGGCTGGTGGCGTCCTATATGGCCCACGAGGAGAATGATCCTCCCAACGACCTTGTTCGCAAAATAACCAGCGACAGCGAAAGGACGGACAAAGATCTACTTATAGGTTGCGATGCCAACGCCCACCACACCCAATGGGGGAACAAGGACACGAATGTAAGGGGTGAGTCACTGTTCAGCTGCATCCTGACCTCAAATTTATTCATTTGCAATAGGGGCAACAGCCCCACGTCTATAATTAAAAAGCGGCAGGAGGTCATTGACCTCACGCTAGTGTCAAACAAACTGCTAGACACAATCAAGAACTGCAAAGTCCTAGGAGACCACTCTTTCTCAGACCACAGGTATATCGAGACGATATTATCCTTCGAGATCCCCAAACCCACCGACTATAACAACCCCAGAAAAGCCTACTGGGAAAAATATAGCATAACCCTGGAGAAACTACTCCCTCCTAACGCCCCTAATTGCCCGAACACGGAAGACAGCCTAAACCGTCTTGTGAACAGGTTTACGGATGCGTGCAACAAAGCCTTCAAGGCAGCATGCCCTTCTACCAGACCAAGGAGGAAAAAGAAACCCCCCTGGTGGTCTAAGCAACTAGACACCCTTTGTAGAACTTGTAGGACTCTATTCAATAGAGCCACAAGTGCTAAGGAGGATATTCACTTGGCAGACTATAAAACCAGTCTATACAAAAAGGAAACGAGGAAGGCTAAAAGAGCCTCCTGGTAAAAATTTTGCTCCGAAATCGAGAAAACTTCGGAGGCTGCAAGACTCCGGAAAGTTCTCTCAGAAACTACCCCTTCGGTTGGTTACCTCAAAAATAATGATGGTACGTGGACCAACTCCAGTGAGGAGTCCCTACACATTCTGCTCGACACGCACTTCCCCGGATGCACAGCCACCGAGCCGACGTACCTCCTAGGAGAGCGATCGGTAGAATCGATGGTCCATATTCTTACAAAACGGGACATGAGTTGGGCAGTAAACAGCTTCAACCCGTTTAAATAGCCAGGCCCGGACCAGGTAATCCCGGCCCAACTTTAGAAGGCCGGGGATACGGCCATCAACTGGCATAGTATCTTCAGGAAGATACTGGCGGTAAGCACAATACCGCAAGCATGGCTTAAGGCTAGGATAGTTTTTATCCCTAAAGCAGGCAAAGCCTCACACTCAACCCCGAAAAACTTTAGACCAATCAGTTTATCGTCTTTCCTACTCAAAACCTTTGAGAGACTTATCGGGTTACAATTACGGACAACCATAAGTCCCCAGCTGTACTCAAGCGCGCAGCATGCCTACCGGAAAGGAAAATCCACGGAAACGGCACTTCATGAAGTGATCTCGAGTGTAGAAAAATCGCTGCATCTCAAAGAATACTCACCAAGAGCTTTTCTCGATATCGAGGAAGCCTTCAACAACGTCACACCGGGCGCCATTACAGAAGCCCTGACTGACCTGGGGGTGGACCGTCACTTGGTGAAGCTCATTGATCAATTGCTCATACGCAGGACTGTGGCATCATCGATGGGATCGTCCACCCAGTCAAGGTATGTCAACAGAGGAACCC